CTCTAGGGGCATCATGCCTGATGCGTTACGAGACTTAAATATCTGGTGGTATGGTCCACCATGGTTAGAATATGATGAGGAAAAATGGCCCTCTGAGGATTTTCTTGCATCAGATATTCAGTTACCCGAAGCAAGGGTTACAGTATTATCGGCTGAAGTGAAGGCCAAGCTGGAATTTAGCATATTTGATCGCTTCTCCAAACTTTATCGTCTCATACGCGTCATCGCCTTCTGTTACAGGTTTATAAAAAATTGTAAATCGAACAAAATCAGTGCTTTGCAATCACATAGTACGAGTAAGGTGGTGCAATCATTGATCACAGATGAATTGGAGCACTCTAGACTGATTCTTATAAAAATAGTACAATCCGAAGCGTTCGAATTAGAATTACATCATCTGAAGAACAATGAATACATAAGCTCACACAGTAAAATTGCGAAATTGAATCCATTCATAGATGAGCAAGGAATTTTGCGAGTTGGCGGTAGGCTAAGACACGCCAGCGTCTCTTACGAATATAAGCATCCGATTTTGTTACCAGGCAAACATCCATTTACTCGACTAGTCATTGTATGTGAACACGAACGACATCTGCATGCGGGCACACAAGCAACCTTAGCGGCGGTTCGTCAAAATTATTGGCCGACATCTGCGCGGAGCATTGTTCGTGATATTGTAAGAAAATGTATAGTGTGCGTTCGTAATGCTCCAAAGATAGTCTCGACATTAATGGCCGATCTTCCCAAGGCGCGAGTAAATCCTGTGAAATATGCCTTCCAAAAATGTGGCGTCGACTATGCGGGCCCTTTCTGGTATAAGGAAGGTCAACGAAAAAACGCGAAATTAATAAAATCTTATATAGCGTTATTTGTTTGTTTTGCCACTAAGGCAGTACATTTGGAGTTAGCTGCGGACCTTTCCGCGGAGACTTATCTAAGCGTTCTCAAAAGATTTATTGCTAGAAGAGGGCGCCCCAGCGACATTTATTCAGATAATGGGTTAAATTTCGTAGGAGCCAATCATGAATTAAATGACTTACATAAACTTTTTAACAACGACATTGATAATCGTAGGATTGTTGATTTTGCGACAATTGAAGGCACAAGGTGGCATTTTATTCCTCCTCAAGCTCCACACATGGGTGGATTGTGGGAAGCTGCTGTGAAGAGCGCTAAATTTCATTTGAAACGTATCATCAACGAAGCATCATTAAAATACGATGAATTGTTTACTTTATTAGTTCAAGTGGAAGCTGTATTGAATTCGAGACCACTTATGCCATTAACAAGCGATCCTAATGATTTAAGTTTCTTGACGCCCGGTCATTTTTTAGTCGGATGCCCGATAACTATGTACCCGGAACCTAGTATTGAAAATTTACCAGCTAACAGATTGTCTCGATGGCAGCGGGTAGAGCAATTAAAGCAGCACTTTTGGCGACGTTGGGTAAGAGAGTATTTACACAATTGTCAAACGCGAGTAAAATGGAATACGCATAGTGCACCTGTTAAGGCCGGACAAATGGTGATATTAAAGGAGGATAATCTACCACCCTTATGTTGGAAATTAGCTCGCGTAGAAGAAGTGTATCCAGGCGATGATGATATTGTGCGTGTTGTTTCCGTTCGAACCTCTAAGGGAATCTACAAGAGACCTATTACTAAATTGTGTGTTTTACCCATCGATCAACAATCATAGAATGTGTTGAGCGTAAGGCTATGTTTCTTTTTTTT